ATTTTGGTATTTTTAGCTTTTTGCTAGTATTTTGCTGCTTTTGCTAGCATTTTGGTATTTTTAGCTTTTTGCTAGTATTTTGTTGCTTTTGCTAGCATTTTGGTATTTTTAGCTTTTTGCTAGTATTTTGTTGCTTTTGCTAGCATTTTGGTATTTTTAGCTTTTTGCTAGTATTTTGCTGCTTTTGCTAGCATTTTGGTATTTTTAGCTTTTTGCTAGTATTTTGCTGCTCTGCAAGCATTTTGGTATTTTTAGCTTTTTGCTCATGTTTTGCTACTTTTTCTAACATTTTGGTATTTTTAGCTTTTTGCTAATGTTTTGCTAGCCTATTGGTATTTTTTTAGGTTTGAGGCTTTAATAACTCAGTTTCCGTTTCTTCAGCAAATTTCCTCTCTCAAATTTAAACTGTATTTTTGCTCAAAATGCAGTTTCTTATTTTATTCTTTTATCCGCACAGCTACCATCAATAAATCAATCAGTAACAAAAATAAAAACTATTTTCAGCTCGACTGAAAAAGCTGTTTGGGGAAAAAGTAGTCATTTATTGAAGCAGAGGTAAATAAACAATGTTGAACATCTGACTGATAATGTAATGGGTTAAAAAAAACATACACTTTATTATAATTAATAAATGATAATTAATGTTTTTCAAACCCTAGGATTAAAAAAACAAACATGTTAGAACGACTTACAACCAGCGCTGTTGAGTCTATATCCTTGTTCTTCATCAGAATCTCTCGAACATGTTCGCACTTCAGACCTTCCTGAGACACAAACTTGGAGAATGACCCACTTGGCTTGCCGTACTTGCAGGGCATGATTGACGTGAGGTCCGGTCCACGGGAGTACAGATAGAAGGCCTCTTCAGCTTTTATTCTAGACCCTGACAGACACGTAAACATATCATTTTAAAAGAAACATCACAAGATCCCATCACGTGTTAGGTTGCACTTTTTTCTTTCAGTTTGGGAACAAGGTGAATATTTCAGTATTTATTTATTAGGAAGCTGCAGACGTGAAACACGAGGAAACCAAACTGGACCCAGCATCAAAACAACGAGGTTTAAAATATCCCATCTATAATCTTCAAAGGAACTGCAGTGGGAGAACCTCGAGGTTCCACGCTGCAGTTTGATGTTTTATTTCCTGTTTTTTCTTGAGCTCATTGAACGCCACGGTCTCCTGTCTCTAATAAACAAACTGCCACCAGATTCTGAAAACCTCAGAAAAATAAAAGGCAGCTAAAAAAATTATGCTATTTATACAGGAATAAACTTAAAAATATAACTTTAATTTTACTGGAAAAGTAAAAATACAAAAAAAACCCACAATAGATAAAAAATACACCAATAAAAAACAATAGTGTTCCTTAAAATAATGCAGATCACCCGCCTTATGTAGAAAAACTGATTGATTTAAATTTATTGATTATTCCCTCATTAAAAACTGCCCAGTGGCTCATGAGGTATTTTGCTTGTTAAAGGCAAAATAGTAAAAAAAAAATAAAAGTTCTTGTGCGATCAGTTGGTGCTCGAGTTGTGTGTTGAGGATCAGCATCAGCTACTACCACACCAAGTTTTAGGTCAACATCTGAAAAATTGGCAGCGGGAGCAGAACTTGAGTTCAGCAGCTTCTTTTTTAAAATACAAACGAAGCAGTCAAGCACATTATTGTGAATCCTGCTCGTGTTAAAAAATAAAGTAAGAAGCTTGGCGCCACCAGGGAGCAGCACTGACGACAAGTTTAACGAGTCGCCTACCGTTGAAGAGCAGCACGGAGCCCATGCTCCACCGGCCCCCCTCCTCAGAGAGCGCAGCACAGTGACCCAACATGCAGAACGTCTTGTTGCTGTCAGAGGACAAACTGGACTTTCTTGGTAGGGTAAAGTCCAAAGACACTTCACATTTCCTTCAGGAAAACAATACAAACATGTTTTATTAATTAATTAATCAGAACAGCAGCTTTATATTTCCGACAGGCGTTCTCACCAGACGCCACACAGCCAGACCACCACCCGGCCGTGGATGTTCTTCTTGCCCTCCGGCTGCTGGCTGTAAGTGATGCTGAGGTGCTGCCACTGTCCACGTCTGAGCAAACCGTCCCCGGACTCGGCCTGCGCCAACAGCCCGGCTTTTATTTCGTCATTTGGATCTATACACATTCTGTCCGAGCAACACAAAACATCAAGACACCGTGAACATTGTTAAAGACCTTGAAACACTAAAACATTGCACTTTGTGACTGTATCATGTATGTCACTAACTTACCATCATAATTCATCTCGGTGTTACTACCTGTGCAATAACCCGTAACAAAACCTGTGCAGTTTACGTTAATGTGCAATATATATCATGTGTATTTAAGCTTATATTACTACCTGTGAAATACTTATTTAGACCAGGTCATCCTCCTTGCACCGTTATATTCTACCATGTTGTTGTTTACTACTATACATTTCATTTGGACCTTGTAAATATTATAATTCTTTTTCACTTTCTGGTACCGTACACCTTACACGTCGCACCGCCGTATAAGTCGCATCTATTATGCGTCATCGCTGACAACCCGGAAACGTGGGCCGGTGTGTCAAAAATCGATCGGCTGCCAAATGGCGGCCGCGGGAGCGTGCACGGGAGGACTTTAACAAGAATTTAACAAGATTAACACTTAAAAACAATTATTTGTTTGCTCGACATTATAGCAAAGGTCTATCTCAGTTGAACTTTTACTTAATAAATGCACTTTAACGGTCAAATCAGCTGCATTTCGCCTGGGCGGCGCGGCGAAATGCAGCTGATTTGGCGTTTGCTCCAGGAGTTCCGGAGAGAGACAAAAGTGGCGTCTATGGCAAGCCAAGTGTCTCATTAATAGCCACTTTGACCTATTAATGAGACACTTGGCTTGCCATATTAGTAGAGGGCCCTCTAGTGGCTGAAAATGGTAGTGTTCAATATTTTCCATGTCAGAATGAATGAAATAGTCAGATCTCAGCCCAAAATTGAGTTATAAATATGGAAAAAAAACATATTAGCCGCTTCCCCGTATAAGTCGCAGATCATGCTAATTTATGCAAAAAGGTGCAACTTATAGAGTGAAAAGTACAGTATTTATTTTGTATACTCATTGCATGCTTTAGTACTTCTTGTTTTTAGCGAGTCAAATCGGGTCTTCTCATCCTGAACATTTCATTGCACCGTTGGCCTTGTGTTAACCTGCATATGACAAATAAACAACACCCCTAAAGGAATGCATGTCGCCCACCGCCATTCAAGCCAACCGTAAGACCGCTGTGTGTTAAGAGAAGATTGAGTTCTAGCCATCACTCCAGATTCACCTCCAGTGGCGGGTGACATAGAGTAAAAATAGCTTCACTAATAAACGAGAAGCCGATTTTCTTTGTAAACGCAGCCCGAGCTGGAGCTCACCTGAAGGTGAGGGAGCCTGTGAAGAAGTCCGCCCACACTTGAAGCATCAGCGCCTTGGAGCCCATGGACAGAATATGGACGAGGCTTTCCTCGGACTTTGGTCCGGTCGGAGCTGAAACACGGAGGGACTCGGGTGCAGGAGGACTGCTTTCTTCTAGGAAAACAAGGCGAACCGGTTCATATTTATGGACACGAAGCAGAAAGTCTTCCTGCAGAGTGATCTGCAGCTTACCTTTGTCCCCGTCCTTCTCCTCCAGCTCTGCCACCCTCAGCCACATGGAGGCGCTGAAACCGCTGGCCATATGAGGCCAGCAGTTCTGCCCCACCTGGGGCAGGTGGAGCGGAGCGACGTGCCACGGCGAGGAGCGAAGGTGGCTCGGTCGGCACTCGGCGTCCCCCTCCCTGCGACCCGGAGACAGCTTGCCCTTCCAGAGCAAACCCACGCCTTTCCCCCCAGCAGCGCAGCTCTGCCGGGAGCCGGGAGACAACGACGCCGAGGTGGAAGCCCCGAGGACCACCGGAAACGTCAGGAAGTGAAGGGGCTCCACGTTCATGTTGGCTTCGATGATTTGTAAAATACCCTTCAGTAAAATATCCTGTTAAATTAAAAAAAAAAAAGTTTCTTTAGATCGACTCTTTTAGTCGCTCAGTATCTGTAAAACTAACAGGCGTTCACGTGCTCGTTAAGGGCCGTCGGCTGCGGCAGCCATCTTGAATTGGGTCGACCAGAAGTAGATTCACATCCGGTCACAAGAGTTTCATTAAATTTTCTTCATTCATGAAATTTTATACTAAAGCTACAAACAAACGAACATTCGAGCAAAAACATTATCGCTTTCAGTGGCGGGTGATCAATTTAGATTCTTATTTTTGTACATAAGTCTTTGTTTTATTTTACCAGTTAAAAATAACCTCTTTCTCAGACACGTGGGACTTGAGGACGACTTTTTATCTTCTGTGAAGTTCTCACCTCACCGTTGGTGTTAACCCTGATACAGAACGGGCTCAGAGAGGGGAGGGTGACAGGAAGTCTTACAAATTAGTTCTTGTTTCTGTGAATTAGTGTGAACACGAGCCGTTTGTGGCCGAGCATGCGTAAGCAAACAGCGCGTCGCTGAGTGACTGATGGGGAGGCCATGCTTACGGTGGGAGGGGTCTTCTCCAGGAAGAGGCGGATCAACAGAGCCAGCTCCTCCGCCGTGATCCGCTGGCTCACCATGGCAACGAGCAGCTCCACCAGCACCGTCTGGCAATCTGAAAGCAGACCGGCGAAGCAGATTATATCAACAGGGGTCACTCACGCTCACACAGAAACAAAACCACAGACTGCTTCTGCTTCTGGTCTGAAATAAATATCGTAAAGGACAACTGCAGCCCAAACTCCTAAAAAACTGTAATAAGATAAAAACAATCCCTACAATTTGTTGTATGAGCGGAAGAAGAAGTGTCCAGAGAACCAAGATAAAAAACATCAAAGCTGCTGCACGTGGCTCACTGTGGTCACCGTGGTAACCACACACCTGTGTCTCTCCCTCCATGACTGCTAAGTAACTGAGAGGCAGAAACAGACTGAAAAGTAAGCCTCAGACAGGCGGTCGCTGTGCAAAAACTATGAGTCGGATCTTAAAATATCTTGGACGGTCACGCGTGAACTTTTAAGTTTCCAAAGTTTTTTAAGTGGCAGATATGACAAGTTCAAAGGACAATTCACTTCCTGTTTTAAAGAGAATATTTTCATCTCAAACATAACTGAACTCCGTGAGAGTTTGGCTGTGAAGAAAATACGGAGAAAACTAGGAATGCACGATATTATCGGCATGGTATCGGCCGATAATATCGATAAAGATAAATATCGGACATCGGCCATTCCATCAGAATAACA